CTCCACGCTCCCTCGCTTTCTTACTTTATGCAACTGGTAGCATTTGGATTTGCTTTTTTTTATTTTTTTTTTGTTGTCTGAAAGGGAGAAAAAAATTTAACATTTTCCAGGCTTGTGGAGGCAAAAAGTTGAAAAATATACACGAATACAATAAAAAAAATAAAAATTGAACCTGTTCTTTTTTTTTTTTTTTTTTTTCTGAAAGGAGAAAAAATTTAAATTTCAGCGCAAAAATTAAATTATACAATACTATAAAAAAATAAAAATTGAACCTGTTTTAATAATTAATTATTAAAAAGCGAAAAAGATAGTCAAAAGCAATTCCATGACAGCGATGCTGCATGTGGACCTCCCGACGTGTCTTTTGGAGAATCTTTGGCTGCCAAATCATTTCGTTTCCAGCCGTGGCCGGGCCTGGACCTGGTTCTGGGCCTGGACCTGGGCCTGGTCCTGGGCCTGGGCCCCTTATCTATTTGTTCATTAGTCTATTTGTCTCATCTTTTTTTTTTTATTTTTTCCCGCTTTTTTGGTATTATGTTGTGGTCAAAAGGTAACCAAAATTCCTAGCCAACAACCCCTATCTGTTCAAGGCACAGATGACGTCGATAGTAGCAACGGCTGCAACTGCCTACTGTGCTTCGTTTACGTCATTAACCGCTCCATATCTAACACCAAAATCTCAACCCCTAACTCCACTGCAGCAACTAAATCCTCCACTCAAGTTTTTCTCTCATTCTATTAATGTGTGTCGTTCAGAGTACGGAAAATCAGTCGCCTGCTTCTAAAATAAGGTAAACGGAGGAGGTGACATTGCGAATGCCAGGGGATCTAATCCAATCGGAGAAAATGGAGCAGCAGGCAGCAGCCGCATCCATATCTGCCGGGAGATCTGAAACTGCCGAATTGCGTGCCTGTAGTCCTCTCACTCTCTTTCTCTCAGTCCACAATCGTTTCCGTCTATGGAATCTCTTCCATTTTACTAGTTTCCCTCGTCTGGATACTTTCTGGTTTGCTCTCTTTTCCTTTTCTTTTTTTTCTTAGTCTTTAATTTTCCAAGGACTGCTAATTATTGACTCTACTCGCTTTGCTAGATGCCTGCATATCTAATTTACTGATTCAATTTATTTTAAATTATTATAACTTTGAATCTATCCAATTGAATTGAATTATGACAAGTAAGGTTATAAAGTTGTTATTCCATAAAATAGTTATTGCATATTTAAATTTGAATCAGAATTAGGACTAGCTATTTTCTGTCCTCCTTGTTCCATACAATTCCATGAACCAAACAAGGCCTTAGTGGTGTTGGCAGTTGAAAGTGATAGTAGCATATAATACTTGTAATATATGCTGGCAGAGAAAAGAATACAGTAAAGGCGACTCAAGAGATGCAGCAAGGAATGCTGGATCAGTAGTTGCCGTGGAAGGATTGACTGCAGTATTACAGGGTCCAGCAGCTAGCCTTCTACCAGTGTATGATTTTTCTCCTTACAAGAATAAGAGTCATTCGTATGAGATAAGTGTTTGTATTTATGCATTAACTCTCTTCTCATACTATTCATTAAGCACTTACTTGTTTATGTATTTGCAGCTATGCTATTGCTGCGGGAAAGTCATATAGCTGTATACTTCAGTTTTGCCATTTCTCTGGGTGCAACTCTATGGAACTGCTATGTATTTCATAACTTCCTAACGATTATGCTGCAAGTCCATATTACTAACTCCTCTTGGGTTGTTACATCACTTATCAGTATCCATTGTTGGAAGAAGATTTGTACAGCATTCAAGTGGAAGGCCAGAAAAGACCAAAAGTCACTGAGGTAAACACTTGATATCTACTTAAAGACCTCTAATTAAAATATGTGTTTTAGTATGTTTTTATTCTAAGCTTTTGGCAATTTATGCAATGGATTATGTAATCCTGAAACCATAATTTGGTAATGGCAATTAGCAAAATGTAAATTTATCCGAAATTTTCAAGCAACAAATAATTAGCTGGATGCATTTGCTTGCCTTTCTATTGTGTTTGTGATCATTAGATTCAATTGTTATCTAAAGCAGGTGCACATCCCAGCATCTCTGTAGGTGAATATTGTATGCTTTGCTGGAATCCATCATCATTTAGCGACCCTACATACTTTCATGGACTCTTTCATTTTTTTTATTCTTTATTTGTTTTGGAAGTGGAGAAAGATATTTGCTTTTGCAGAAAAATGGAACTATGTATTAATAATTAATTTTCTGTATGCTTTGGTACAGACAAATTGGTTCTTTTTTAATATGAAACAAAGTTATATAGAAAGGAGGACTGAATACTTCATGATGTGGAATATACATGTGTGTGGGGGCATGTTTAGGATTAAAAGGATGTTGAACTATCAATTAAAAACCGTCTTCATTTTCTTACTTGTTGAATATTGTACTTGGTAAGAATTCTGCAATTTTGTGTTGGTAATTTTTTTTTTTTTTTGACGGTAAATAGGATCACATATTATAAATCATGAGAAATAAGAGTTGCAATACATTGTGGGATCGAGTCCCATAGACGGAAACAAGGGTGTAAGCATGCCACACGAGCTAGAGCGTGTGCAGGCTTGTTGACTTGCCTCCTGGCCCAAACCAATTCACAAGATGATAATTGAGAAATCAGTTGTTTAATCTCTTCGAGTACTGGTGCCCAGTCTGAATAAGGTTCAAAACCAGTAGTTACAGCTTGAAACAGTCGCAGACAATCTGTTTCCACTAGAACCCTTTCAATATTTCTCATGAGAAGCCAATACAATACTTCCCTAAGACCGATGGCCTCTGCAATGTGAGGTTGCAGCACTCCTGCAAAATGACCCGTACAAGCTATCAAGAATTGCCCAGCTTCATCTCGGATAAGGCCAGCATAAGATGAGCGACCTTCAGTGGCATGGATTGCTGCATCAAAGTTACATTTCACAGTCCCAACGAATTCACAAGATGATAATTGAGAAAATTCAGTTTGTTTAAATCTCCTTACGAGAGTACAACTGGTGCCACAGTTCTGATAAGGTTCAAAACCAGTAGTATAATAACAGCCTTGAATCGTTGTTTAATCTCTTCGAGTACTGGTGCCCAGTCTGAATAAGGTTCAAAACCAGTAGTTACAGCTTGAAACAGTCGCAGGCAATCTGTTTCCACTAGAACCCTATCAATATTTCTCATGAGTAGCCAATACAATACTTCCCTAAGACCGATGGCCTCTGCAATGTGAGGTTGCAGCACTCCTGCAAAATGACCCGTACAAGCTACCAAACTGTCTTCATTTTCTTACTTGTTGAATATTGTACTTGGTAAGAATTCTGCAATTTTGTGTTGGTAATTTGTTTAGATAGTATTATGAACTTGCTTTATTTTGCAGAGTTGCGATTTCCAAAAGCTTATGCTCTATTCTGTTGAGTGGCTTGTAATTAGTTGCTTGGTTGGATAGAAGGGAATTGGAAAGAAGTGAAAGGAGCAGTAGTGGAGAAAGTAAAAAAGAAGAAATGCATCGGCTGCCCTTTCTTCGGTTTTGTTTGGTAAATGGTATGTAACTGACAGAGAGAAGAGAGGATCGTAGTCTCACCTCCTTGCCATATAAAGTGGGGGGGGGGGGGGGGGATATAAATTTGGGGGGGGGGGGAGGGGGATTAAAAAGTAACCTGAATTAAGAACTTTCTTCACTGCCAGTTAGGTCTTTTTGCTATACAAAACCAGAAGTATAAAAATACATTTTAATTATTTGGTACAGATCAAAGTTTTTAAATTTTATTAGTATACACATTTGCGCAATAAAGAAGGAAAGACTATATAATTAAGCTTAAGCCATAAAATAAGGGTATATAGAATTCTATACTTGAAGTCAAAAATGATAGAATTGTCAAAAGGAAAAAAAAATAAAAAATAGAGGCTTAGGTAATTTGAGTCAGTTATAACTTTGAAGCTTGTGGGTAATTTAACGCCACGCTTAATTGTGATGATAGCTTCTGTGACAAATCGCGTGGGTCGCTGGACTAACGATGTCCTTAATACTTTGTAGACTTGATTTAGTGCTTTACTGGCGGATCGAGGGATACCCTTATTTTTTTGCTCTGTTCAGAGAACTGAGGAAGGAGAGAGAGTGCAGGTCTCTTTGCTACTAGATTTAGAGCTTCAAGGAGGAATCGCAAATAAACTGGGGGGGGGGGGGGGGGATAAAATAACTGAATTAAGAACTTTCTTCCTGCCAAAATTAGGTGTTTTTGCATACAAAAAAAAAGTATAAAAATACATTTTATATTTGGTACAGATCAAAGTTTTAATTTATTAGTATAAGAAAACTATATATTAAGTTAAGCCATAATAAGGGTATATAGAATTCTATATGAAGTCAAAATGATAGGTAATTGTCAAAAGAAAAAAAATAAAAATAGAGCTTAGGTAATTTGGTCAGTTTTCAAACTTTGAAGCTTGTGGTAATTTACTTAATTGTGATGATAGCTCTGTGACAAATGTGGGTCGCTGGATAACGTGTCTTATACTTTGTAGACTTGATTTATGCTTTATGGGCGGATCGGTCTTATTTTTGCTCTGTGAGAACTGAGAAGGGAGAGAGGAGGTTCTTTGCTCTAGATTTAGAGCTTAGAGGAATCGCAATAACTGAATAAAAGAGGGAGCGACAGATATTATGAGCATGGACTGGATCTCTCTAGAACTCAAACTAATTTCTTGTAGAGATCTGAAAGCCTTCAACTTGTTCCAGAAGCTGTCCGTCTATGCAGTGGTTTCTATTTCCAATGACAGTGATGAGGAAAAGAAAAAGAAGCAGAATAGGGAGCAACAGCGGCAAAAGACTCTGATAGATGGAGGAGGTGGCAGCAACCCCGAGTGGAATCAGGTGATGCAATTTGATCTAAAACATGTGTCTCAGATTGAGAGCGATCATCTCTTTCTCAAATTCAAACTGCGTTGTGCTGGTGTACTGTATGGAAAGAGATCTATTGGTAAGGTTTGCGTTCCATTCAAGGATCTGATTGAAGAATTCGACGGGAATGTCAGGTTTGTCAGCTATCAGGTTAGAACTAGTGATGGGAAACCCAATGGAGTATTGAATTTTTCCTATAAAGTGAAGAAGGAGGGAGATGATTTGCCACGTACGGCGGCAGCGACAACTACGAGCCATTTTTCTCGGGAGAGATTGCAAGTCGAGCCACAAAAGAAGCGCTTGTATCCTTCCCTGGATGACATTCGCTCTCCTTTGCCAGTACCGTATTATATTATGTCTCCGACTCAACTGCCAGCTTTTGTTCACCATCCTTGCCCATCGCCACTGGTACAATCTGCAGGGCCATATTGGCATGGTAAGCAAACAGCAGCAGGTAATGAATATGGCTTGCGGGGTGGGCAATTGGGATGTGACTATTGAGTCTTCGGATTTTCACCACATATGTATTAGCTTTTATTATTATTATTATTTGTACAAGTCAGATTAATTAATCAGTGATAAAAGAGAAACTGTTGTTCCTCTTTTTTTGGCTCTTCTCTTGAAGAGCTCTCGCAGCGATTCCTCTAACCTTCGGTTCCATATCTGTTTGGTTTCTGAGATTTTAGAGCTGAAACTCCAAACTTCATCGTCATTATTATTATTTTTTTATACGACTAGAATGGTTAAAGTATGGGCCAAGGTCAAAAACACTTACAGGAGATGATATAATGGACCATTACCAACCAACAGAGGGCATTCTAGAATATCCAATTAACTTAAAATTTTCTATAAACATTAGGGAAGTTTGAACAAGCATGCATGAGCAGGAGCAATTCGAGCTGCGAGTCAACTCTACTAACTAATGACGTTTCTCCCATTCTAGAATCTAGACTGATTACTTAGCGATCCAGTTGAAATTGGTAACTCTGACAATTTCCAAGTGAAATTGATTGGTGGTTGGAATCTTGCGTTTCGATAGACTGCATAATGATCAAACCAACCGTGTGTAACTTGTTGGACCCGATCTTCTTTGTTCATAAATCTGATTATGCTAATTTTTTTAATTTGTCTTCAATTCAATCGAGATAAAATAAATGAACGTTCTGCCTACCATCCTCCGCCCTCTGTAATTAGCAGTTGAAACCCCGAGAAAGAACTTAAAACAAAAAGACGTCAACTTGCATTATTAGTAATACAGGCTACAGCCATGCTGCTTTTTGTGAGCGACAACCAAGAAATGCTTGCACGTTTGAAGAGGGAAAAGATGCGCATCGCACTTCAATTATCTTCTTTTTCCTCTGCGGAACCGCCCAATCAAGCTCATATCCTTCCGCGTTTATCTTTAGGTTTATATAAATATTGTCTTTTAGGCTTTAATTTCAGAAGCTTCTTTGAAGAGTTGCTAATAATATTACAAGAATTGCTAATGGCTAATGCACGTGCTACATCCATTAAAATAACCCAGATAGCTTAATTGATCCAACAATCTGCTACTTTTACTTATCCCATTGCTTTATTGCAGGAATTTGTGAATAAAACCTTAAGGTAAGGGAAGGTAAGGGCTATGTAACTAAAAGTAGAAATGGCCGGTGAACTAAAGAACCCTAAATTGCTTTATCACACCTTTATGATTATTCTGCAGTTTGAGGTTAAATAAAAATAACAATAATAGTAATAGTAATAACGAAAGGAAGCCCCTTTTAATGTTACTGCAAAACAATTGCATTTGCATTTCTTTTAACGTGCCATGCTTCAATTATTACTCGAGAAAAACATTTTCAATTGCATGTTTGTTGATTCCCAGCCAATACGTGGCTGGGTAAGAGCAGATTACCACTCGGTGAAGCTTCTCTTTCTGCTTTTTTTTTTTTTTTAATCAAATTTATCAAACCCACTTTCATCCCACTCCCAAAAGTACAAAACAAAAGAAAAGCAACAAAAGAAAGCGAAAAGGCACAGCTTGCTTCTCTTTATAAGCCAGCAAAAGGCCTTCTGCATTTCCTCATGCTAAGCACTGTCTCTAAGCAATTAAGCTAGCCCTCTCTAAATATCAAAATTTCTACATATCCTTCATCTTCTTGGTGCCTCTGTTTCATATTCTTTCGAATCCCGAAAAAAGGGGAAAAAATGACGAACAAAGCTTCGGTTTTCTTGAAAAAGATAGTGTTACTAGTGAGTTCCATTGCAAAGACCAAGTCCGTGGCTATTAAGAACAAAACAAGCGCAGTTAAGGCTCGTCTGATAATGTTCTCTTTAGTGAAGAGTAAGAAGGTTTTGCTGGGTTCAATCTCTGACAAGATTCATAACATTCTCGGGCAGAGCGACAGAGAGACTCAAGACGACAATGAGGACCAAAGCAAGGCCATCGTTCTATACAATAATGCTTCAGCCAACGAGTTGCATTCCGGTTGCATCCAGCTGGCAGACGAGATTGATGATGGCGATGACGATAAGTACCCTGACCTGACGCACTCGCTATTCGATGAAGAGGACTTCAGTGACCCAGGAGGGTCCATCATCGATTTGGTGAAGAATTCCAAAGAAGAAGGAGAAGATTTCAGCTTGGAAGATGAGATTGATCATGTCGCGGACCTGTTCATTATGAGATTTCACAATCAAATGCGTTTGCAGAAGCTTGAATCCTTCAAGAGGTTTCAAGAGATGCTTGAGAGAAGCGTTTAATTGCTTTAATTTTTCTTTCTTCATTAGTTATCTCTGTTCACATAGAATCTGTGTTCGGACAGGGAATTCAAATAAAATGTAAAGTCGACCGGATTTCTCTGCTACTTTTCTACGGAGAATCCGATTGCCTCTAATTGCATAACGGGCCTTTCAATCCTTTTATCTTGGGTTGTAAATTAATTATCGTGATAAAACTTAATTATAATTGACTACATTATTAGCTAGATTAATAATTAAACCTTGATTTATAACTATATTATTATTTTTGCGATATCTTTATATCCCATGTCAAATTTAATTTTAATTTGATGAGTTCCGTAAAATTAAATTTTTTATAATAATTAATTATGTCAATAGAATTTTGAAAATGAAATATATTTATCTAATACATTGAATCACCACCAATCAATTAAATATTTTGAATTAGATGTCGATTTTTTTATTCTTAATAATAATTATTTCATCGTAAAATTATTCAGCAATACAATTTCAAATATTTAATTAAATGAAAATCAGCAACAACAATTAATATAATTACAAATAAAATTGATTTCCCCATTAATTTATTGCTTAATATTAGTAATTACTAATTAGTCAAAAAATAAACGAATGATGTATAAAATGTAAAGCATCCATATATATATTTTTTTAATTTTTTTGAGTAAGTAAAGCATCCACATTTCATTGCTCTCCAAAGGGATCAATTTTAGTATACAAAATCATATTAATATGGTCAAATTTGGGCCTGGGCTGAAGCCAGCTGCGACTGCGAGTCTTTTCCTCTCAAGGTTCAAGCCCTAGGCCATGATCAGAACGGAGTCTAAAAACTCGGCCACGTTGCGAGGAATAGAAAAGGACAAAAGGAGCGCCACGTCAGCCAAATTGGCGCCAAATCTTCCCGCCAAATCTCACCTCATCCATTCCTGGGTAAGTAGCAAAAGAGAACACAGTTCAGCGATGCCCTAAGAAGACCCCAAATCAACCGCGCCAAAAAAAACAAAAACAAAAAAGAAAAAGGAAATCATAAGCAATGGCTTCCGCTAATTCAGGAAATCCACCATCGACTCCTGATTCTCCCACATCTGCTGGCTTCAACACGGATCAGCTTCCCCCCAACACCAGCCGAGCCTCTGAGAACTACACTGACGATGATGAGGCTGCCGTCGATCCCGAAATCATCAGAGACGAGCCTGAACCTGAAGAGGAGGAGGAAGGCGAGGACCTATTCAACGATAATTTCATGGAGTGAGTGCTAGTGTTTATGTTATTCGCCATTAGTTTCATTTACATATAATTTACGCCTACATATACTAAAATGAAATGAAAATGCAGTGACTATCGGAGGATGGATGAGCACGATCAGTACGAGTCGGTCGGATTGGATGACTCAATGGAGGATGAGAGGGATTTGGATCAGATCATGCAGGATCGGAGGGCTGCTGAAAATGTGCTCGATGCCCGCGATTCCCGACTCACAAACCGCAAGCTCCCTCAACTCCTCCATGACCATGGTAATTTATTCCTTCTATTTTTTCATCTGTTAGTTCCTGATTATGCTGAATATTCGTCAATCTTCCTTTTATGCTTTCAGCGGGTTGAAGTAAGTTCATTCCCTCTATTCTGATGCTCAAATCAATCTAATGCTTCCTAGTTTATTATTTGTGGATTTACAAAGGGCGGGTGAATGAATCCATATGGAATTGATTTCATTAAAAAAAAAAAAAATCGTAATCTAATTTTAATTCCCAAATAATGTGTTACATTGTAATCTTTGGATAGTTTTGTTTATGTTGGATATTTAAGCCCCAAATTCTAAATTCTAGCCTGTGTATATCATATGTATTCCTGCCAGAATATTTCTCAATTAACTGCCTTCTAAGTCAGAAAGTGTAAAATAGAAATGCTGTTCACTTTGTGTGACAGCTAATGCTTTCACATTGGCTTGCTTGTTTGGTAAATTAATTTGAAGAATTGCGTTTAGGAAGGTTAAATTGGTTGTTTTTTCTGGTTGCAGATACTGATGACGACAGTTACAGGCCTTCAAAGAGGTCCAGAGCTGATTTCAGGCCTCCAGCTTCTCAAAGAAGCTATGACGATACTGATGGTATGCAAAGCTCACCTGGAAGATCACAGAGGGGGCATTCACGGGATGATGTGCCTATGACTGATCAAACTGATGATTATCCTTATGAGGTAATACACTCTCATCACTTTTAATTTTCAGAGGTTATATAAAATATTTCCTCTTGCTAATGATAAATTAATTGTTTAGAAACCAGTCACATTGCTCTTGCGAATTTTGTCCAGGACGAAGATGGCGATGAAGGTGAGTTTGAGATGTATAGAGTACAAGGAACCCTTAGAGAGTGGGTTACAAGAGATGAAGTGCGTCGTTTTATTGCCAAGAAGTTTAAGGAATTCCTGCTTACGTACGTGAATCCAAAGAATGGACATGGAGATTTTGAATATGTGCGTCTGATAAATGAGATGGTGTCAGGTGAAGCTTTTGGATGCTCAGCCTTTCCACTTTCAGGAACAAGTTCTTGCCATGCATCATTCATTTAGCTTACTTTATATTTCATTTGCAGCTAATAAATGCAGTTTGGAGATTGATTACAAACAATTTATCTATGTCCATCCAAATATTGCCATCTGGCTTGCTGATGCACCTCAATCTGTCCTAGAAGTCATGGAAGAAGTTGCCAGAAGTGTTGTCTTCAATTTACATCCAAACTACAAAAATATCCATCAAAAGATCTATGTCCGTGTTACTAACTTACCAGTTTATGACCAGATCCGGAACATTAGGTAATGTGGGTAGTCTGTGTTGAAGTATTTTTGGATGTTTAGGGGTTTTCTTTCCCACAAGGTTTAAGCTTTTTGCCTATGCATTGTGATTTTTAGGCAGATCCATCTAAACACCATGATTCGTATTGGGGGAGTTGTGACTAGACGTTCTGGTGTGTTCCCGCAGTTGCAGCAGGTAAAATATGACTGCAACAAGTGTGGGGCGATTTTAGGACCATTCTTTCAGAATTCATATTCAGAAGTCAAAGTTGGCTCTTGCCCTGAATGCCAATCAAAAGGACCATTTACTGTTAACATAGAGCAGGTGAATTATCTGATATTTTTCCATGTCACTTTCATGGCTGTTATATGATGCTTAGTTGGTTTTACTTTGTTTGCCCTGAACCTGAACAATTGGAAATTGTGAAATTAGGATTTTGCTTTGTTTTTCGTGAGATTACTTAAGCAGCTGCATACATTTTAAGAAGAAAAGCTTGCAAATCTTATTCATATCTTTCCATTCCTTGTTACAGACAATATTTATCTATGTACCATCCAAATTATTGCCATCTGGCTATGCTGATGGCACCTCAATCTGTCCTAGAATCATGGAAGAAAATTGCCAGAGAGTAGTTGTATCTTCAATTTAACATACACAAACTACAAAATATCCATCAAAAATCTATTATCCGAGTTAACTGAACCTTTAACCAGTTTAATGACGCAAGTCGCAGGAAACAATTAGAAGTAATATGTGGTGTAGTCCCTGTGTTGAAGTTATTTTTGGATGTTTTAGTGGGTTTTCTTCCCCACAAGGTTTTAGCTTTTTTGCCTATAATGCATTAGATATGAGATTTTTTAGGCAGATCCATCTAAACTACAAAAATATCCATCAAAAGATCTATGTCCGTGTTACTAACTTACCAGTTTATGACCAGATCCGGAACATTAGGTAATGTGGGTAGTCTGTGTTGAAGTATTTTTGGATGTTTAGGGGTTTTCTTTCCCACAAGGTTTAAGCTTTTTGCCTATGCATTGTGATTTTTAGGCAGATCCATCTAAACACAATGATTCGTATTGGAGGAGTTGTGACTAGACGTTCTGGTGTGTTCCCGCAGTTGCAGCAGGTAAAATATGACTGCAACAAGTGTGGGGCGATTTTAGGACCATTCTTTCAGAATTCATATTCAGAAGTCAAAGTTGGCTCTTGCCCTGAATGCCAATCAAAAGGACCATTTACTGTTAACATAGAGCAGGTGAATTATCTGATATTTTTCCATGTCACTTTCATGGCTGTTATATGATGCTTAGTTGGTTTTACTTTGTTTGCCCTGAACCTGAACAATTGGAAATTGTGAAATTAGGATTTTGCTTTGTTTTTCGTGAGATTACTTAAGCAGCTGCATACATTTTAAGAAGAAAAGCTTGCAAATCTTATTCATATCTTTCCATTCCTTGTTACAGACAATTTACAGAAATTACCAGAAACTTACACTCCAGGAAAGCCCCGGAATTGTGCCTGCTGGTCGGCTTCCAAGATACAAGGAAGTGATACTATTGAATGATTTGATTGATTGTGCCCGCCCAGGGGAAGAGATTGTAAAAACCTTTACTTGGATTGTTTTGTTTTCTTTATTTGATGTCTTGATCATTACTTATTCATGTCCTCTGTTATTTTTGCTGCGATATATTTCAGGAGGTCACGGGCATATATACAAACAACTTTGACTTATCTCTGAACACAAAAAATGGATTTCCTGTCTTTGCCACAGTAATTGAAGCAAACCATGTAACAAAGAAGCAAGACCTCTTTTCAGCCTATAAACTTACACAGGAGGACAAAGAAGAAATTGAAAAGCTTGCTAAAGACCCAAGAATAGGAGAAAGGGTCTGTTATATTTCTTTGCCTATCATGTTTCTGTTATATCATTGCAAAACACCTATTTCTGAATGTCTTTGTTAACTAAATTCTCAGATTATCAAGTCAATTGCCCCATCAATATACGGCCATGAAGACATTAAAACTGCAATAGCCCTTGCCATGTTTGGAGGCCAAGAGAAAAATGTTGAAGGTAAGCACCGGCTCCGAGGGGACATCAATGTACTTCTCATGGGTGATCCAGGCACAGCAAAATCTCAATTTTTGAAGTAAGAGCCATATCTGAAGTAATTTAATTGTATTTTAATAGTGATGTGGCATTAATCTAGAATGTCTTTTTAAGGTATGTAGAAAAGACTGGGCAGAGGGCTGTGTATACTACTGGTAAAGGAGCATCAGCTGTAGGTCTAACAGCAGCAGTGCACAAAGACCCAGTGACAAGGGAGTGGACCCTGGAAGGAGGGGCGCTCGTATTAGCTGATAAGGGTATTTGTCTTATTGATGAGTTTGACAAGATGAATGATCAGGACAGGTAGGGAAAGGTTTGCGTATGTGTTGACAATCTCTATTATTATAATTATTATTGCGAGGAACTAAATTTTCTACCCTTGAACAGGGTGAGTATCCATGAAGCAATGGAGCAGCAGAGTATTAGCATATCAAAGGCCGGGATTGTAACATCTCTCCAGGCTCGCTGTTCTGTCATTGCTGCTGCAAATCCCATTGGAGGAAGGTATGCAATTTTATGTACATATAGCTTATTTATACAATTGATTGCCTTTCAAAGGAGCCTTTTGAACTTAGACATTTATGAGAAACTTATCAATCTCTGACTATGGATTTTGATAAAATACTTGTGCTCATTCCCAGATATGATTCTTCAAAAACATTTACACAAAATGTCGAATTGACTGATCCCATCATTTCTCGTTTTGACATCCTATGTGTTGTTAAGGTAATCCTTCAGCAAAGATCAGTCATTATTTGTTCATGTATAATTAATTGATACTGACAGAGAAGGAATTGATTATTAATTGTAGGATGTTGTGGACCCTGTTGCAGACGAGATGCTTGCTAAGTTTGTTGTTGATAGTCATTTCAAGTCACAGCCAAAGGGTGCTAATATAGATGATAGATCCTTAAGTGAGTCCCAGGAAGATGCCCAAGCCTCTGCCAGGCCCTTTGATCCTGAGGTCCTATGCTCTAGATCCTACCAGTTTCTCATCTATGGCTTTTGATATCATTTGATATTGTTCTTTAGATGTTTGATCCTGATGGTGTTTAACAGTGTTCTTTAGATGTTTAATCCTGAAGGTTTTTCCTTCTTTCAGATTCTTCCTCAAGATTTGCTGAAGAAATACATTACTTATGCCAAGTTGAATGTCTTTCCAAGGTTGCATGACTCTGATATGGAAAAACTGAAGCAAGTATATGCTGAACTCCGAAGAGAATCTTCAGTGAGATCAATTTTCTCTTGTTTACTCATTGCCATTAAGGGATGTGGTTTGCTTTGATGATCTCATCATATAAGCGCCTAATGTTTTATTTTGCCTGCAGCATGGACAAGGAGTCCCTATAGCAGTGAGGCACATAGAATCAATGATACGGATGTCTGAATCACATGCTCGAATGCACCTCAGGCAGCATGTTACAGAAGAAGATGTAGATGTGGCAATACGTGTTCTGCTAAATTCCTTCATTTCAACACAGAAGTACGGGGTGCAGAGAGCTCTGCAAAAGGTATAATAAGAAATTTAACTACTTTTCTCATAACTTGTAGCTATTATGCTGTTTGTTCCTCAACAATGCCTTTTGCTTTTCATAGAAGAGACGGAAAATAGAAAGTAGAAAGCACACCCTATCAGAATGTGAAATTACAGCGCTTCTTATCAAATTCCCATGTCTCTGGTTCTCTAATTTCTCTTGTTAACAGTGTCCCCAGCCAAATATCTGCAATGCACACAAAGTGGCGTACTACCTAAGAACTGTACATGAAAATAACATATATAGAAGTCTGTTTACTGTTCATTGTTTGGATTCAGTCAAGATAGTTTTTTCACAGTTCATTCCCATAGAATGTCTTCAGTAGCTTATACGAGAAAAGATTCATCACAAACAAAACTGTAGGATAGATATATCCAGGCAGTGGCTGTAGAGATAATCTGCTTTGTTGCTCGTTCATTATTTAAACAATTGATGAGTTTGGCCATGATACTGAGCCAGCTTATATGTGATTCCCAGAGTTTCAGAAAGTACATCACCTACAAGATGGATTACAACAGAATGCTTCTCAACCTCTTGCAAGAACTTGTGAACAGGGCACTGCGCTTTGAAGAAATTATAACTGGTTCCATTTCAGGGCTTAGCCATATTGATGTGAAAGTGGAGGACTTGCGGATCATGGTAATGCAAACCTAAACTCAAATATCGGTTCACATGTTTACTTAGGAAGGGAAACGTGCATGGCATTGATTATATCCTATTTTTGCAGGCGGAAGAAAGAGGAATCAGTGATCTAAACCCGTTCTTTTCCAGTACTGATTTTTCTGCAGCAAATTTTGAGTTGGATAATGTGCGACAAGTGATCAAGCATCATCTTCCAAGACAATAAAGAAATTAGCTACTCATGCAAGGTGTTCAAAAATTGCGACAGATGAGTGGCATGTTAGGTGACTCTAAATTAAGTAGTATAATGTACTATTTATTAAAGATTACAGTTGACCTGGGATTCATTGACAAGTTGTCCAATACGGTCCTGAATTTGAAAGCAATATTTAAACACTTGTTTGCCCTTGTCCAAGCAGATGCAGACTGAAAGGAAATAATTAAATGTTTTACTATTATGTACATAAATATTAACCAATCTTTCTAGATGATTTGGAATTTGGATAAGTGCATTAAGATTGGATTTCATCATCACTTTTGATTTAGTGAGCCGGTTGGTCAAGCTCAAGAATGGTTCGTTTGTTTTTGCAGTTGTTATTTTTTCTTTTCTTTCGGGGCTTTAAAATGATCCAAGTTACAAACTGTGGCTTGTAGCTGAAAATTATTAGTTTGTCATCACATAATGGTGCAATATGCATGAACATTGTCTTCACTGAAAAGGTGAACTGTGTTGTCATCAACAGTGGCGTATGCTTGGTCTGGAAAGTATCCATGTACGCTTTCATTGTAGCCGTGCATGTAGTAGTTATAGGAAGTAGTATAGGTGCTCTCATCTAAGTACTGAGATGCATATGGATAATATTCACTGTCGTATGGGAATGGCCAAAACTCTGCCTTTCTTCCTGTTCTCCTCACCACCTTAAGGACCTTCCTCTGGTCTACGTATCCTGTTACCGTCACCTTTTGCTTATCCATGTCTATATCAAAGCTATCAACACCTGCAACATGCAAAGTTCATTAACTTGATAGTATAAATTATATTATAAGCTTAATTATTGTAGATGGAAGGTGTAATTAAGTGCACTTGCCGTCTATTTTGGAGATTGCTCTTCTTATTCTCTTTTCGCATCCATCGCAGTCCATATGAACCGAAAGCTCCACAATCTATCCAAAGTACAAACCATATTGATATAATATAAGTGAAACACCATTATAAAGTAAATGCTTTTGATAATAAAAACTTATTCACAGTACATCTAAAAGGGTACTTACAGACATGGCATTTGACAGTTTTGAGCTCCCACGTCGCCATCCAAACATTATGAGAATGCCAAGCGCCTGAGAAGCTCAACATGTTCCTCTATTCCTCTGCGGTTGTGCATTTATATATATTGGTTCTCTACTGTCTTGTGCGTGTGGCTTCTATAACAAGCTTACTTATGCATTGGATAACAAATTTGAAAATACAGTAGAAACCTTTTCTTAAGATAAGTTTTGTACGAAGTCGTTCATTTTTGTCAGGATGAATATTAATTTGGTGGTGAAAGAATAGTAGAATGCTCAAGTGGGCACCGCAGGATGTTGGAAATAGCCAATAGGAATATGTTCTGTGATTAGTTGAGCAAATTCTCTGCCATTCCACTACACTACACTCTACGATTTTCATCTTCTCCTGGACCACCACTTCAAATTAATTACCATCTATTACTGGAAGGCCTTAATTCTGAAAATTGTATCATTCTGCTCTGTGATTTCACTATCTCTTGCAACTTGAACAGCAAATCTCAGGAATATTATTAATCTGAAAGCAAGAGGCATCTTCTGCAATTTGAATCTTGTTTTGCCAAAACAAATTGCTTCGTTTTTTCGTGATCTCTTGGTGTTGCTTTCTCTGCAGAATATGCTAGCTTGCGCATGAAATTCAATCTATTTTTTCACTAGTTTTATTTTTGAGTATCCAATAAAATTATCGTCATTGTTTACATAGAATATTTCAAAATTGATCAAATTTATGACATTGGGAGATGAATATTCGATTATCAAATTACTTAGTTAAATGGTAAAAATTATTAATTCTCGAAATTCAAAATAGTATTAGATGATTTATTTTAATATAAGGGAACAATGCATTTTTTTTTTTTCCGAAGAAAACATATGCAATCTAACATTTAAAAAATTTTAATAACTTTTGCAAAATAATTTTAGGCACACTTTTATTCCCAACTGCTACAATTGAAAATATATAGTTTGTCCTTTGATAAATTTAGTATTTAAATTGTAGCATTATTAAATAATCTGTGAATAATAAAAGTTTCCCTTCAATATTTAATAGGTTAGGGAAAGAAATTTAATTATTCAAATGATTATAAGTAATTGGATTGGCCTGGTAAAGGTCAAAATTGACCACGCCTGTGGTGGTAACTGGTAACTGATAACTTGGTAAGCAGCAGCAGCAGTAGAAGTGGAGAATTATATGGTAGAGGCGGTGAGTGGCAGAGCGAGTCAGTGGCCGATTTAACACGGCAAGATTCCATCATCGTTTCGAGTAAGATTATTTGTGAATTTTGGATAAGCGATGGAAGAGAAGAGGCAGATCCATCAGCTTCTTCTTCTGCTTGTAGGAATATTGATTGGTTGCGTTTCCTTAGAGATCCACGCTTCCGGTTCCGATAACGTGGTACTTCTCTTTACTTTCTTTTGTTATGTATCAGTTTGATAGACGATGATGATCTTATAGTTTCTTTCTTTTCTTTATTTAATAGATATTTTACGAGCCATTTGACGAGCCTTTTGATGGGAGCTGGATTGTCTCTGAGAAAGACGAATATCAAGGTTTCTTTTTTTTCAAAAATAAGTTTCTGTATTTTCCATTTTCAATTTGATCCTTTTCATATGTTTATATATATTTCTCGCCGAATAATTCATGATTATCTTTACTTTCCTTTTACAATTGCAATATGCCATGTGAATGGCTAAGCTATAGTCAGCTCATGATATTTTTTGAAAGTCAATAACAGCTATCTGTTTACTTTCCAATTTTTCCTGCAAAAGTGCTGTACTTGCTGACAGATTGAGATTGGAGGAAGGACTTAATTTTCTGCTGCTGCCACCATAATATTGAACTTAAATATTTGCTTCTCTCATCTTTATAAAGTGTATGTACTCCTATTATGTGTATGCTATATAATTGCTACCTGCGTTGGTAGTTTTTCTTCATAAGGTGGAAACAGGATATGCATGGAATAGAGGGTTCCATAAGCCGTTTTCTCTTAAGTTGCAAAAATATTCAAACTAAACATTCTTGTTTGTAATAAATGCATCTTATCTCATATAGTTCCTCATGAATGCATTAGGTCTATGCATGACCTATAACATCATGCACTTAAAATGTGGCTATTCTCTTCTTTTTGCAACCTGTAAATATATACAATGGTATCCATTTTCTCTTAAGGTGTATGGAAACTCTCAAAAAGTGAGGGACATGATGATCATGGACTCCTTATTAGTGAGAAGGCTAGAAAATATGCCATTGTTAAAGAGCTCAATAAGATATTGAGTCTCAGGGATGGAACCATTATTCTACAGTTTGAGGTGCGGCTACAAAATGGGCTAGAATGTGGTGGTGCGTATTTGAAATATCTCCAACAGCAAGAGGATGGATGGAAACCTGAGGGATTTGATAATGAGTCTCCATACTCTATAATGTTTGGACCTGACAAGTGTGGCTCCACCAACAAGGTTCACTTCATTCTTAAGCATAAGAATCCCAAGAATGGGGCATTTGTGGAGCACCATCTCAGGTATCCTCCTTCTGTGCCATCTGACAAGCTTACCCATGTATATACCGCAATATTGAAACCGGATAATGGATTACAAATTCTAATAGACGGTGAGGAGAAAAAGAAGGCTAATTTCCTTTCAGCCGAAGATTTTGAGCCAGCATTAATTCCGCCCAAGACAATTCCAGATCCGGATGATAAGAAGCCAGATGACTGGGATGAGCGTGAAAAGATTCCAGATCCAAGTGCAGTGAAACCAGATGATTGGGACGAGGATGCACCCATAGAAATTGAAGATGTGGATGCAGTGAAACCGAAAGGGTGGTTGGATGATGAGCCAGAGGAGATAGATGATCCTGATGCTTCAAAGCCTGAAGACTGGGATGATGAGGAGGATGGTGAATGGGAGCCACCTAAAATTGACAATCCAAAGTGTGCATTGGCCCCTGGTTGTGGTCAGTGGAAGAGGCCAATGAAGAGGAATCCTGCTTATAAAGGAAAATGGCATGCTCCTCAAATTGATAACCCTAATTATAAGGGCATATGGAAGCCCCAACAGATCCCAAACCCTGCTTACTTCGAACTTGAGAAACCTAATTTTGAGCCCATTACTGCAATTGGTATTGAGATTTGGACAATGCAGGATAACATATTGTTTGACAATATTCTGATAGCTACAGACGAGAAGGTTGCAAGCAAATACAGGGAAAGAACATGGAAACCGAAGTTTGAAGTTGAGAAAAAGGCTGCTGGAGGAGGCCTCTCTAGCTTACAGGTTGTGCCTTTATTTTTCTCTTTTTTTCCATTTTGGTGCTGGCAAAAGATTACTTCTGCTACAGTTATCTCTTGTTATTTCATACCATAACAAACTTGCTGGGCTATTTCTTGCAGAATAAGGTGTTTGATCTTCTGTACAAGATAGGGGATATTCCATTCTTAGTTGCATACAAACCTAAAATTATTGTGAGTGAACAGATATTTCTATTGTAAACCTATTGCAATTTCTCTGCAGAAGATGACAGGAGGACTTAAACTGGATTACATGTTTTCTTGAAGGATATCGTTGACCAGGCGGAAAAACAACCTAATATAACTATTGGCATTCTTGTTTCCATTGCGGTTATTGTCTTGACAGCATTCTTCAGAATACTATTTGGAGGCAAAAAAACCGTGGTATGTTATTTGGACGTTCAAAGTTTGGCACATATCAGTTGTCATGATGTGTGGCATGATAGAAATTCTTGTGCGCTCTGTAATTTGCAGGTTAATGCCACTGAAGCAAGGAGCAATACTACGGAGGCTTCAAACAGCCCAGGAAGCAGTGGAGAGAAGGAAGGTAAAAATGAGAAGGAAGATTCTGCTGCCCCTCCTCCTAGGAGGCCTACCAGAAGGGAAAATTGAACTAGGTAGAAAAATTGCTACTGGTTATTTTTGCAACAAAATTTTGAACAGTTAGGGACTGGCACAACTAAACTTTTATTAAAAGTCTTGCCGCATAAATTTCCTCGTTTGCTTCTTTTGGGATTATTTGTGAATATATATACAATTCTTTATTGGCTGGCTACCTGTAGTGCTTACTGGTATTTGTTCTATATTTCCATTTGACTTTTCTTCTACTCATTATTATTAACATAGGGTCCTCTCTCGCATTTTTTATGAGCCTCTTCAGGGAATTTGTAGTTTGCTTCTCCATGATATTTGTGAAGTTTTACACCCTAGGCTCTGTTTCATCTAATTTGGTAATCTTTTTTCCCTTGTCCAAAAAAAAAAAAAAAAAAAAAAATTTCTTCCTACTCAATTATTATTATACATAGGGTCCCTCTCTCCGCATATTTTTATGAAGCCTCTTCAGGGAAATTTGAGTTGCTTCTCCATGATATTTGTGAAGTTTACACCCCCTAAAGCTCTGTTCATTCTAATTTGGTAATGCTTGTTTTCCCTTGTCCAAAAAAAAAAAAAAAAAAAAAAAAAAAAAAAAAAATCTGAAAGGCTTGATTCACTCCTTGGCCTTGAATCCCAACAATCCTCGGATGGATACCTTATATTAGTAATTAAACATTCGTATGGTAGCTCTTGCACTGATTCTCCGAGTTGGAACCATTATTTATTTATTTATTTATTATTTTTTTTTTGGGACTATGATATCTGTAAATAGCCGTTTCACAGGCCTGGACAAAGCATATATGCGTGAAAAAATTCACATGGTCACATTTTAATCTTGGAAATCAATGCAAAAAATCATCTCAGTTGTGGAGATTCCTTTCCAAGTCGAGGGAAATTCCTCTGCAATATCATGGACTAAGTAAGACGACTAAAGTAAATCCCTACAGGAACAGATACCATCCTTAAAATGATGGAAACAATTCAAGTCCTTTATTATAATTTCACGCTCTACTATCTTAGAAATACGCTTTGCAAAATCATGGCAGCAACGACACACACTCTGGTTTTTGGCAATACGAATTGTTACCCCTGCCCGTGTACTTATTAGACCAAAACTAAGTGCCAACATTTCACTGTGCCCAATTTCAATGCATTCCCTCTTTCGTGCATCTCGGAGGTTAAAAGCAGAAGTTTCCATTTTCTCCATTAAACACTGCAACTCCCCATATATTCTCTCTGATCTTGGATGGGATGCGTCTCCAGTTCCAAAGGTGTGAATTTTATTATGGAATTCTATCCAACTATAAGCTTTCTTAGGCTTCAAACTTAGTTCTTTAATCTTTTCTTCCAATTTCCCAACCATTTCCCATTTCGCATTAGCAGCATACCAATTGGATTCTGACACATAGTTCTCAAGACTGACGGGTTCCAACTCAAAAAGCTGCTCAATGACCTGCTCACCTATTTTTGCTTGCTGATGGACCTGGCACCCATCCAGCAGTGCTCTCATTACCTTTCCATTCCTCCCAATCTGATGTTTTTCAATAAAGGCTCTTGCCTCCTCAAAAAGTGCTGCGCGAGATAAGAGCGTGACCATCAAACAATAGTGTGTTGTATTAGGTTCCTCAATACAGTTGAAATAGAATTTTCCATCCTCAACCATGCATGAGGCAGCACAACAACGTAGGACAGCTTCATACGTAAATTGATCAATCTCTATGCTCGGGTCCTTCTCCAGCCGGCGGAACAATTCTACTCCAAGCTCACCTTGTCCATGCACACTAAAGCCTAATATCATTACAGTCCATGAAATTACATCCCTCTCCTGCATACGAGCAAAAACAAGTGAAGCAGACTGTAGGAATCCTGATTTAATATACATGTCCATAACAGCATTTTGGATCCTAATATCGCGTTCGATGCCATTTCTTAGCAAGTAAGCATGGACCTGTTTCCCAAGCTTATGAGCTGCTGGTCTTGCACAAGCAGGGAGAATGCTACAAATTGAGAGGGCGTCGGGTTTTATTCCGACAGAAATCATCTGCCTAAACAATTTGAGAGCTTCATTAAATTCTCCCTTCTTCACATACACATTTATCAATTCTGTCCACGAAATGATATCTTTGTTTGGCATTCGATCAAAGGTTGCACGAGCATCTTCAACACTGTCGCAATCAATATACATTTTCAAGAGTGAATTGGCCACCAAAATATCAAACTCCAATCCACATTTCCTTGCAATCTCATGAACATTTCCTCCTTGCTGCAGAGATTTCAACATACCGCACGCGCAAATCGCTGTCATCAACGCTACTGGATCAATTTGAATGTTGGAGTCCATCATTTGATAGAACACATGAAGAGCCAAATCCGGCTGATTATGCGTCAAGTACAACTTAGCTAACATAGTCCATGAGATAGAATTCTTGGCAGGAGATTTATCAAAGAGCCATTTAGCAGCGTGAGTACCATCAAGACGTCCATACATTTCCATTAAAGCAGTAGTGACATAGTGGTCTGAAGAGAAGCCGAGCTTGAGAACTTGGCCGTGAAGCTGTTTGCCAAGACAGAGGTTGCTACAAAGGCGAGAAGCGGTTAAAACGCGAGGGAAAGTGCGTCTATCAAGACGAGCACCCCGAAGCAGCATGCAAAGATAAATAGAGAGTGCGCCCGCAGGATCCCTATTGGTCAAATGGGTGTGGATAAGATTGTTCCAAGCAAAGGTATCGGAGAGCGGAATTTCATCGAGCACCTGGTGGGCGAAGGACAAAGCCCCAGATTTGACCCTGAAGGGGGCCCTGAGAGTACGGAGATGCTTGGATTGTGAGATATGAATTGGCGCAGTATCGGAATTGAAGAAGAAAGTGTGGATCCGTGCCGATGAAATGACGTTGACACCCATTCTGAGATCCGAAGCAAATAGCAAAAATGAGATCAAATCTGGAACGTACGAAGCCGGCCTTGAAAATCATGGATGGACCGATGGACCAGCATTCCTCTCTCGACTTCTTTCGCAATCATTTTTCGATTTTCGCAGGAGTGAACTTTGGCAATGGGCCACATGAAGACATATTTGATATATCCACAGTACAATGGGATAGGGGTTTAGTGGAGTTCTAGTTGGGCCTGGCTAAGGCTTCCAAGCATTATTATGATAAGTGTTAAATTAAATATCATTAGAATTTGATGGATACTCCTTTATCAAATTGATGGTAGTTGCCCTCATTTCTCTTGTTGTATTTGTTTTTTAAATTTCATCAATTTACCAAAAGATGGCTGGGGACTGGAACTGGAGAGCTCTTCCTCCTCCATTAAACAAGTAGCATACGCCTGCCTGACCAGGTCAAAAAAAAAAAAGAAATCAACAGCCCATTTCCAACGCTTTTTATTTTTTATTTTTGTCTTTAAAAGAAAATATAACATGCGTTGTGGGATGTCGAGTCATGGTTATGAGCTATCTATCTCTGTAGAGTTAGGCAAACATGATTTTCATTTGTAAAAGGCCAAAAAAAATAGCCCATAATTGAATTGAATAGAGACGGTAGTAGAAGAGTGTAAAAAGAGGATGAGGTATCCTAGTAGAATAATTTTATGCGCAAAAGAAATGAGAAAAATGACTTATTTTGACTGGTAATTTGTCGTCATGCGTAGAAATATGCACGCCAGCAAAGAGTCGAGTCTAACGCTGCCAACCCAATTCCAATTTGCCAATCTCTACTGTTTGGGTCGAAGCTGAAAATTGATCATCTGCTCACTCACATTTCACTATCACCTCATCTGTCCTGTCTCTCAATAGTATTACTATTATCATTGTCATCATCTTCCTGAATAATCAAATCTCATATCTACACCCAGTTCCATAAATTAACAGTTCCAAAATTAGTTAATTCATGGAACTTCACAGTTTTTATTTTAGATTAATAATTAGATCCATTTAATAACTAAATTGATCACTTAAACTTTGACAAATTTGTTAGTTCATTACAGAATTGAGGATAGTTTATCCATACCCATAAGAAATAAAATGGGGAATTATAACAGAAAGAGGGTTACTGTTGATTTCTTTCTCTCTCTTCCTTTGTATCAAAGGGAGACTGTGAACCGGTTTTACAAAGTACATTAGGATTTAGAAGTCACATGCCAACCCCAGAAATTTAAAAGTTTTGAAAAGGAAAAATAAATGACTATCGGTGCTGCGGTGTGTCATCAACTACTATTTCCTTAATTTGATCTTGATCTTGGCTTTGGAAGAAGCCTTGGTGGGTGTGGCTGGTGATGATTTATGACTATGACTGGGCTTTTGGGTTCCTTTAGACTGAGATTTCTTCCTTCTTTTCATTCCAAAAGAAGAAAGCTTTCTCTTCTCCTTCTCCCTTATTGTCTCCAGCTTCGGTTTCCAATTGCTTGATCTGACAAGCAGTCTATAATCCTTCTGTAACTGAGGAGTGGTACATACTCGGCTGGTTGCAGCAGTAGACCCGTCTTCTTCCTCATCGGACTCCTTCATCTGCCCTTCTTTCATTAATTGCGATATAAACTCATCGGATACGCGCATTCTCAGAATCCCAGAAGAAGATTTTTGGATGTCGAAGGGTTTGCAGACTGCGGCCTTCTTTAGAAGCGCGTTTCTTGAATCTCTAGTGCACAAGGAGGAAGAAGAAGAAGTAGAGGAGGAAGAAGAAGTGGCGACAAAGGACGCGATGGTGACAAATGATAGGGTCGACTGGAAACAATGTTTAGGAAGAAGAAAGTAGTTGTGGCCGAGCTGAAGCTTGTCGTTAGCAGAGAGAGCTGGAATCTTCTGGCCTATGTAGAATGAGTCTGAGCGGCATACCAAATGCTTTGGGTGTTGTATTAATAGCTCTGAGACATGGATGGGTTTGTCATAGATCTTGACCACACCATCCGATTTTATGAGCTTGATTGTCTCTGCCGGTGGCTCAGGCTGGATATGGACGCACGACATGGGATTGCCCATCAGAAAACACCAAGGAATGGTTTGCAGATTGAAAAATTTTATGCCCATTAAGATTGTTTAACGACCAGCAGAAACTGAAAAGATAGATATAGTTAGTATATAAGCAAAACAGGTACTAATTAATCAGGTCAGAAAGTGGATAATGATGGAAAGATTTGTTTCATTTCTGGTTCTGTAATAGGAAATATTCTGAGGTTGGTTCTTGAATCTTAAAGCAAGAAAGAAATAAATAAAAAGGAGGAGGTATGTGTGGTATTTGTAAGTGGAAAGGAGAGCTTGGCTTTTAGCTAGCGGCGAGACACCCGGGTATAACTATTTCTCTTTTTCTATTCCTATTTAAACTTTGACGCACTAGTTTGACTGAAACTCCTTTTTGGATATTCTGCAATTAAATTTTTCGTGGAACGCCAACTGAGGCCAAAACCACAAAAATTAATATACCGCTTGCTATTATAGAATTTGTAATCATGAAAATAATAATCGTAATAATATTAATATTGGTATAAAAAAAAAAAAATACACATACAGAAGGTAAGGGCAGTAGGATATAGAAAGAGATTATTGAGAGCATTACGTCTCCACGTATGTGTATATATATAGGACAAAACATGTGGCATATAGTATTTGATTTGTCTCTAGTCTCGAGTTTAAGTTGCTTAAACTTCAAGTGTCGAATAATCAAAGGGTAACAGCAGAAGCAGCAGCAGCATACCTACCATTCCCGATGATGAAATGCGATCACCCATTGACCAAATCCTCCACCATATACTTGTTCATTTTGATTGGTCCCCGCGCGGTTTTCACTCCTCAAGAACTTTACACCATTTTCCTCCCATTGTATATGTAATTACGAGTTTCACTTTCACCGATAAACTGATTCCGCCTGTATCGTTACTCTTCAAGAATTAGGGTTGCGTACGACAAGGATTTTGGATTTTGATGAAGGAATTTCTCTGCACACTTAAAAAATTACTCAAGTTTTGGATTTCTAAATCTAAATGTTGACCCTCCTAGGCGTTCAAAATTTGTTACTTACAAATTAATTCGAAGAAAATCCTCTGCACACTTGTGAATGAAACAAACTTGGTTTTGGGTAAGTTTCCATGTGAGATTATATGAAAATTGAACTATAATAATAATCCAGTTAAATTAATAGGAAATGATAATTATTATCTAGCTAGCTAGGACGGCTTACAAAATACAAAAGAAGCTGCAGTTCATAACCATGTGAAATGCCTAACTCAAAGATTTTGTTCTCTGTAATTATATTTTAATTTATTTATTGCTGTAAGGGTTCATTCTGAGGTATGACTCGTGTTTAACAAAAAAGACAAATGGAGAGCTGATCAAACTGCCAATATTATTCAAAATTAATACGTCGTTCTTCTTTCAGTAATCTTTTATTTTTCTTTTATAATACAACAGTGAAGAGTAATGTTGTTATGATAGAGAAGCATAAGCCATCCATTTAACATCTTGGCCCTGGCCAGAATCAAGAATCAAGAATTAAGAATCAAGAATCAAGAATCAAGATTGAAGAGGGTGGGTGGCCCAACTTGCAAATATGTCAAAAACGGCGTCTCTCGAACATAGTTAATTAATTAATAATAATAAATATAGTATAAAGTTTATGGACCAAGTAATCGTGAGTGACGATGTCAATTAATAAATTACTAATACTGTTCGTATGATCAGATCAGTCAGCAGCACAGCACATTTGTTACAATACAAGATGAACTTAATTGACCTGGCTCAGAATAGGTTTTCTGGGCCCGTCCTAACAGGCTGGCTCCGCGCCAGCATCATCATCATCGCCACAGTACATGACATATGAACAAACAGAGGAATTGGATGTGTTGTTGGCTGAAAGTTGAAACTTTGAAATCAATCAATCCATCCACTTCTTCTGGAAAAACAAAACAAAACAAAACAATCCAAACGTGGAAGAGGGAGTGGGGCCCATCCAATGTTTGACCAGCGAGCGCACGTGTTTTGCCTAAATAGAAGAAGGTGTCCTTTTGACTGCCTAATTCTAATTATAAGTTGCTCATCAGAAACGTTGGCATGAAGTTGTTACGATTTTTTTTTTTTTTTTTTTTTTTTTTATTTTTTTTTTTTTTTTTAAAAAAAGCCACGCGTCTCCTTGAGGGAATTTAAAATTTAAGATTTAAGGGACGCAAAGGAGGCAGATAACCTAATCTAATCTAGGTTCTAAACCCAATATTTTATCAGCTAATGGGAAATCAATGATTTCACGTGTCTTCAAAATCTAAAATTATACTATCTCTAGTCGGGATTTTATTTGTCAATTACTCACTCTTTCTCAGCATATTACTTCTAAACCTTCCATTTCCTTTTTTAATGTAAAACCTAATTTCTTTTTAGGTTAATTTGCTTCAAGTTATGCACTCCTCGCCCACCCTCTAATCTTGATGCTTTATATACGTTTTAATGTCAAAACCATATCTATGGGTTCTTCTTCAAAAAAATAAAATATTATATATAGAATATAAGTTATATTTTCAAACATATTGTATCATTTAAAGACATGTAACAACTTTTATTATTCAATGTATTGCACTCATATATTAACTCGTGAACCGTTATAAGCATAAAATCTCTAATGGGTAAACATACATATCTTTTTATCTTCATAAATCTAAAGTTTTAACACATATTATTTCTTACAATTATTGATATTTAAACATGTAAAATTTATTTTATTTTTATATATGTACACAATATTCATATATCATAACTATAATTGTTAAAAATAAACTTGATTTATGTTCTTTGTTTTATTAACTTAACTATATGAATTTTTTTTTTAAAGCATTATTTAGATTATGTTTGTTAGAAATTATTATGATTGATTGCTTATATTTAAAAACAAATGTTCAAGAGTGTTACTGACAGTTTTTCGTTTAATAAATAATCACATTCTATATTTTAACTCAATTTTTAGTACCATATTCTATATTTTTTATTCTGATTGTATGGGCTATTGGTCTCCAAGCGTTCTTTCCCATGTTTTGCGGGCATCATACAAGCAAAAAGCTTACCTACTGGGCTCGTGGGTCTGAAAGTTCGAAACCTTTTTAATTAAATGTATCATGGCATTTTTGCTATATCCTCAATGGTGGATGGATGGGGCTGCGCACTCTTAAAAAGCCTAAAGACTTGAAGGGCCCATTCATATGGTATTGTTTTTTACTTTCTTCAGTCTTTCCTCTCACACACTCCCTTGTAATTGGTTCAAAACAATTACGACGTGACGCGGGTTGCGGGCCTTTTGACTGACTTGTTGAGCTGGAACCCTGACTGTGAAGTGAAGGAAAGGATGCAGATGAATGCGCTGGAGAGTAGCCGCTGTGGTTGCGTGGATGTTAGGATTAGCGAGGAATTGAGCAAGCACTTGGTGATGGGACAAAGACGCTGCTTTCCAACTCTGCCTTGCTTGAATGGTCCGATCTCTCGGTTTGGGGATTCTGGTGCGATGCCTGTTTTTATGTTGGGATTCAACACTCTTTTCTCTCGCTCTGCTTGCTCCATTACGCTGTTTTTTTCTTCGAGGCTTAGGTGCTCCCTGCTTTTTGGATTTTTGCCTGCTGTACTCTGCCGGTCTTTTCTGCCAAGGTCTTAGGGGTTCCCTCATCCTTCTTGGATCGGTGCGCAGGTACTTCTTTTCTTTATTTCTCCCACTTCGTTTCATTTTTATAGTTACGGTATTCTGGCTTTTTTTTTCTTTAAAAAAAGACAATTTACTTTTGAGATCTAAATTTAGACCTCTTGCTCGCTAAAACATGACTTTTTTTGAGGTGGCTAGAAGCAAGGCTTATTTTGGTGTTTAAGATTGGTCTATTTTTCCCATTAACTGCATTTCACCACCTGCGAAGCAGATTTTTAATTGGAATCACTTCTTGCTCATAAATGCAGTTCAACAATTTTAAATTCATTATTTCTCGTATTCATAAGTTTAGGGGACGGCGAGCTTAGTGTTAGCTCCCTCCAAAAAATATCCATAACTTTTTAAAGTTCCTCAAAGCTTTTCACTCGTAAATCTAAACTATGGTGCTTTGTGATGGGATATCTCTTTGCTTGCGAGTTAGCTTTTCATGTAATTTTAGTAGTCAAGAAACTATATTAAAAAAAAAAAAAAAAAAAAAAAAAAAAAAAAAAAAAAAAAAAAAAAAAAAAAAAAAAGGGAAAATATCCATAAAAACGACTATTGCCAGAAATCTTTAATTGTGTGCCAGAGATCTTTTTCCTCTTGTTAGAATGTGGGGGGTGGTGGGGGGGGATATTATCTGTTTCCTCAATTTTAATGAGGGATTATTGACTCTAAAATCATGGATTGGTGTTTCTTTTCAATGTACTGTCACTTCCCCTTGCTACACTCTATGATATATAAAATAAGAGCTATCAAACAGTACCTTGAATGATAATCATGTACTCAACTTCTTCTTTCTGCTCAAACTCTCTTCTCCTCTTTTCTTAACTATCTTAACCTTACAAAATTTTTTAAACACCTGATCATTTTTTGAATTGCTTAACTTCTGCAAACAAACAATGCAAATCAAGATTTCGTGGTTTCAGTGGATGAGTATGAACATATATTCATGAGAGTCTTATTTCGCTTATCGCTTAAAGCTTATGGAGAATCTAACTCGAAAGCATAGAATATATACTAAGATAAATAATTCCTTTTAAGCAAAGCATGAGATAAATGTGTGATTGGTATAGTGGTCGGAATAATCTTGTTTAACTGTGAGAAGAGGATGTTGGGCGCTTGTTAAGCTTCCTTAGGCCTTTTGGCTCAGCTGCAGAAGGCCACACGTTAGGAAGATGCCGGTAGTTAGGAAACTTATCTCTTTCTCGTCGTTTACTAACGTGATAATATCCTATAGTGTAATTAATACGTGATTGATCGCACTTATGTGTCTTCGTGCTTGATATTACTGCGCTTTTTGAGATTATACATCGATATTAATTTTCGCCATAGAGTATACGCCAACTTAAGGGCAACGAGGAAACCATGCGGAAATTAATAGTGTGACTAATGACTCTCTTGCTCTCACTTAGAGCTTTATATTGAGACTCTGTTAAGTCGATGTGAGTTATTAGAATACGTAATCAACTCACCTTAATATTCCAGTCTTGTATATAATGAAAAAGGTTTTCATTCTTGTGTTGGTTATGCTCTATTGGCCGCCATTTCCAGAGTAAAAAACAAAACTGAATCCATCCGAGGAGATTGTCCAAGGCCAACACAAAGACCTTGAACAAGGCATTGCTAAGTTAGATGCAACTAAAGAATACCTCCCATTGTT